GGCCGGGCGGACGGAGGGGTTGTTTCCCTCAAAGCTGACTCAGAAATAAGTCCCTGCTGGGTTCGGCAGGCTTTGGGAGCGCCCCGGCGCGCCAGGGAGGTTTTGTGCTGTTCTGTAGGTAACCTGGGTTAAACCTCTCCCTTCCCTCCTGCTGCGTGCAGTTGGTGTTGGTGTTAGGGGACCTTCACATCCCTCACCGGTGCAGCGGCCTGCCCGTGAAGTTCAAGAAGCTGCTGGTTCCGGGAAAGATTCAGCACATCTTGTGTACGGGAAACCTCTGCACCAAGGAGAGCTATGACTACCTCAGGACTCTGGCTGGAGACATCCACGTGGTTAGGGGGGACTCAGAGGTGACTTCTTGCTGCTGTTAATGCCCCCCGCCCCACTTCCCACAGGTGGTGGTTATCTCAGTGAAACTTGGGTGGTCGTTCAGCATTAGTAATTCCCGAATTCACCAAGATAGGAAACAGGAATGAGTAAGAGCAAAGAAACAAAATTATCTATAGGCCCTTGCAGTTCGCAGCAGGGAGGACTGGGTGTGTGGATGCACTTGAGTCAGGTGGATGCTGACACAAGTCTGTCTGGTTGCTGTGAGGCTACAGCACTGGAGTCCCCAGGTGGCTGTGTAGTTGCAGGAACTGAGGGCTTGTGTGTGTGTGCTTATTTACTGTTGGGTAGCCTCGAGGCTCCTGATTTCTGTGCAAATTCCCTGCTCTTTGCTCTGCAGTTGCTCTTGCTGGCATGTGGTACAAGTGTCCAATGGGTCTGCATGTTGAAAAAGACCTTGGGTGTTCAGATAGTGAAAGGTGGACTCGTGTGGTGGAACGTAGGAACTTGCATTGTGCTGTTGAGGGGTCTTTGATTTTTAGGCTGAGCCTTTCTCTTTTGCAGAGCCTGAATTATCCTGAAGAGAAGGTTGTAACTGTTGGGCAGTTCAGAATTGGGCTGATTCATGGCCATCAAGTTATTCCCTGGGGTGATGTGGCCAGCCTGGCGCTGCTGCAAAGGCAGCTGGATGTGGATATTCTCGTCTCGGGACACACACACAGGTTTGAAGCATTTGAACATGAAAACAAATTCTACATCAACCCAGGATCGGCTACAGGAGCCTACAGTGCTTTGGAAATGTGAGTGGGGGGCGCCCGGAACTTCCTAGTGCAACAGAATGTGTAGGCGTTACCTGAAATGTGTTTTTTCACCCGTGAGTGTGCAGTCACTGTGCTGTAGAGCACTGGCAAGGTGCTGTGAGGAGCAGGAGGCCAGGTCCCTCCCTACATGGGGAATGCAGTGGGCTTCTTGTTCCCAGGGTCTACTTAGCCCACAAGTTGGGCGTGACAGCACTGGGCTGCTCCCTGGGCACTCCTCCAGAGAGGAGTGAGTTGCAGCAGGTTCTTGAAGTCATTTTGCCTTCTGGTGTCTGTGCAGATGCTGCATGCTAGAATTTGGTAGGAAATCAGA